TCTTCTTAAGCCAGTAGCATTTTCACAGATGCAATCCAAAAGAGAAGTGAGAGGGGCCTGTGAGCACTGTGTCAAGCCTGAAGCTGACCTGACTTGAGGCCATTTTGAGGCTTCAGTGTTGCCACATTGGAGCTAAGGGATAGGGAGGGGGGAGAATAGAGATAGCTGGGGTTTGTAGCCAAAACAAAATACTTTCTCCTGGGAACCAAGGACCAGGCAACCATGGGGACACCTGGATTGGACCATGTGACTATTTGTTGTGGGGAGGGAGGAAAACTTTTATTTTTAATTAGCTGAAAACCATGGGAACATTCAGAGTCGGTTTTCACCAGCCTGTGCCATTATGATATGTCCAATAAAACTAACCACTGAGCTGAGGTGGCACAGTGGTTAAAGTGCAGTACTGCAGGCTACTTCAGCTGACTGCTAGCTGCAGCTCAGCAGATCGAATCCCGCCAGGCTCAAGGTTGACTCAGCCTCCCATCCTTCCAAGGTGGGTAAAATGAGGAGCCAGATTGTTGGGGGACAAGAGGCTGGCTCTGTAAACCGCTTAGAGGGGTCTGTAAAGCACAGTGAAGCGGTATGTAAGTCTAAGGGCTCTTGCTATTCTTTGAGGAATTCACCTGCCTCGGAGTTCTGTTTGCTATGGGGTGTATTGCTTGGAAGTTCCTGTCTTGGGAAGGATTTCTGTCAATAGGTAGGAACAGCAAAGAAGCTGCTTAGAAGAACCTCAATCTGTCTTTCTTGGTTTGGGGAGGCTGACCCTGCAGATAGTGGACAGGACTTCTCATGTTTCTCCTTCAAGCAAACCACCGCACATTCAGCAGGCTTTCTTACACAGCAACACAGAGCTAATTGTGTGTCGTGGGGATGAAGGTGCTGGGATGGGTTCTCCACCCAGTGAAGTCTCCTGCACCACAGCCGTTCCCTTTCAGCTCTCACCTGGAACATCTTTTCGAGGTCCGAATACTTGCTCTTCATCAGGTCCCCCCAGGAAGTCAAGTTGCAATAGGTAAAGACCCCGCCTGGCTTCAGGAGGCGATGGGCATGAGCCTACAGGGAGAAAAGGAGGAGGGGTGTTTGGGAGGGGCAACGTTAGGCGCAAAGAACCAGGAACACGCATTAAGCGCCAGTTGATGTTATGACTCCTTCCTATACACAAGAATCGGGCCAACTGACGGTCAGCGCTAAATTGGCGCTAGATAAGAATTCAACAGAATTCAAGAGAGGTTTTATTTAGAGAGTTCGTGGGAATGGATTGACTCCAGGCTGATTCCTCTCTTGACTTTGCCTTCTCCTTGTTGTGATGACTCGGTGCAAAGCGCAGGCATAACACAAGCAGCTGGCTGTTCAAACCGCCCCTTTATTGCTCCAAATTTCCCATAACGCTCCCAAGTTTCTGGCAATTTTTTGTGCGCCAAACCGACAGTAATGCCAGTAGCAACCCATCGCTGCCTCCCCGGCCCCCAGGAGCACTCTGCAGCCCTCCAAAACCCTCTGCATGCCCTGTTTTTTGTGAAAAACGGGGCATGCAGAGGGTT